TTACGCATAAGACACCTTTTTGTTTTGGTAGCCCTTGACTAATCCTATATTTACATACAATATATGTATTATTTATATTCAGTTTTTTGTACTCGTATGACTCCAATTGATATGAACACACAAGTATAGTAGTGTAGTATGTCAACAAGGTTTGTTAAATTGCATTTTAGAATGTCTTTTATAAGCGTAAAACACCTCCTTTGATACTTAAAGAAAGCTCTTATTTCAAAACGAGTTCTCATTCGATAAGCTTCAAGCCTGTAATTTTTCAGCGTTCAACTTTTAATAATTTTCTTTAGTTTGTATTTACTAAACAAATTCTTAATCGTACGAATAAAACTCATTCAAGAAACTTCCAACCATTAACTTTTATTTATCAAATAAATTCTTATCACACGATTAAAGTCATTCAACAAACTTCCAATCTGTAACTTTTTTGCTTTCGGGTTTCATTTAATTTAATTTTTCAGTTGCATTTACCAAACTTCTATTTGTCACACGACAAATGTAGGCCCATCATGAATTGTTCAAACTTGGCCTTTTTTTTCTTTTCCCATTTTTTTTTTCCCTAGGAATTCAGGGTTAATTGTTCATGGGACGATCTAGCTCTTACTACACAATGTATCAAATATAATTATCAAAACAAGTTCAAAGATAAGTATATATACCAATAAATCAAAATAACATGCTTGAAAAAAAAAAAAGATAAAAATTTATAAGTTGATGCAAACATAGTCATATATAAATCAAACATCAACGTTGTACATGCATGTAATTAATAACAACAATCACTAACAATACTAGCTAATACAATATTTCACATAGTAATTATTCAAATTACCAATATGACCCTCCACCCATAATTCCAGCTGTAGTAGTACTCCAGCTGAAATCCCCAGTCGAATATTCTCCACTTCGCAGCACCTGAAAACTCCCGTAATTGCTATTTCCAAACCCTGATGACGAAGCGTCGCCAGGAGTGGCGTTAGCAATATTATTCAGCCCCAAGCCACTGCAGGCTTCATAGTTCGGGACCCGAATCAGCTCATCTATAGCCTTGAAGTCACGATGATAATCTTTGCTTCTAGGGTTTTGCATCGGACTTTCAAAATAATTATTATTATTATTATTATTATTATTATTATTATTATTATTGTTATTATTGTTGTTGTTTGAGGATTTTTTGTGAATGTTCTTTCGGGAGCCTCCGCCTACCGGAATGTTCCGGAGAGATCCGCCTTGGGTCCAGTACCTTCGGCAGGACTTGCAAAAATGTCGGGGCTGTGACAGGCTGTAATTGTTGTAGTAGCAAAACTTGGTGTTGGTGGAGCTGCACCGGGGGCAGCTGATCACGGCCTCTTTATGGTGCTGCTGTTGACCGGCCCTTATAATAATCTTCCTTTGATCCACTGATTGTGAAGTCACTATATCCTTTTGGGGGAAATGATCAAACTAATTATGAGGATCAATTTGTGCAAATAAGTTGTAAATGTATATAATTCAGCACATACATATATATGTATAACAACAAATTTGATCAATTTTTACTACCATACATGCAATTACACCTTCTGGAAAAAAAGAGAATGCATGAAAAAAAAAAAGAAAGAAAAATGTCACTTGGTGGAGAAAAAATTAGGGGCATGTGTGTGTGTACCTGAGGCCATTGAGCATTTTCCATGGATGAAAGGAGAGAGAGGAAAATGAGAAGGAAAAAGAAGAATTTTGTTCTTGGCTAAAAAGGAAGGAAAAAGGGGAGAGCAAAATGTGATGTGTGGGTGTATTATATATCTATGTGCCTAGCGTTTGTGTGTGCTAGAGAAATAAAGAGAGGGATCTATGTAGAAATTATATTGTAATTTTCTTTTATTGTTAGTCACTTTCTTTTCTACCTCATCTTTGATTAGGTCCTCTCCCTATATATGTAGACAATTTTTAAATTATTAGCCTTGTTGTTAAGCCTTGTCCATCTACCCAAAACAAAATTAATGGGGTGGGATGCTACATATTGGGATTTTAATAGTGGATCATTATATACATAGCTATATCATTAATTATATGAATATATGTGCATGTAATCTGACTATTTAAAATGCAATTATCGTTGGATCAATTTAAATCAATAATATTCATTCGGTAACTCTTTTGTGAGGTCGAGGATACGTTCGTTATAAACATGCAAAGCTTTAATTATAAAAAATAATGTCATACTCCAAACAATAATGTCAATAAAAGTATGACATTTGATTGTATAAGTAGTAATTTTTATTCACATAATATAACAAGTCGACCCATCTAAGCGGTATATTCTATCACACAAAACTTTTGTAATATATTCTGTTCATTTTCACCCTCTAATTTTGATGGTTTCACAAAAGTATTTTGCTTTATTAGATTTATAACGAACATCGTAATATGCTCCTTTGAAAGCATATCTTGAGTTGTGACATCGAATATAATGGATGTGGGAAAATTTTATTTTTATTTTTTCCTTTGTAAAGATGTAAGGGAAATGATAAAAGACATTACATTTAATCATCGCATGGATTAATTCGTGGTCATTTGGTCTTATTACTAAGAGGGGCGCACTAAAAAAACTGAAGGTGTTTAGCCAATTCTTGATAGCAAATAATTTGATTCTGCAAGGACNAAACTTGTTAAGAGTCAATTTTTTTTAAAAAAAATAAATTATTTGTAATAGTTATAAATTGTTGATTAGGATGATGCATCAAATCAAAAACCATAATGGATGATGCCAAGAGATCTCCATGACTCTCCACACTACGTAGACACCACAAATATCAACCAAATTAAGATGCTTTTTACACCTCACATTAAAAGCTTTTAGTGGCCATGCCCAACTTGCCAAATTGGACGGTTTTGCCACTCCAAATCGGCAAATTGGCGATCATTCAGAATTATTAACCATAGTTTGAATGTTCATAGCTTCTAATTCAACTTCCAAACAGACCTCTGGGCCGATTGGGCTGACCTGTGAAAGGGCCTGGGGTACATTTGGTGGGTATAATGGGCCAGAAGAAGTCTTTGGGGTGATAGGAAGATGGGCCGAAGTAGGGCCTGATTGGATATCAATCGCGGAACCTAAAGAGGGTGGGCGAAATTTGATAAAAAGCCCTATCTGGATAAATAAATCTTATGAAATAAATAGTTAGGCCTCGTTTACTAGCTACTAGTTCTAAAGATACTAGAGAATTCATACCATAAACAAACATAATCGAAAACAAAATGATAAAAAAGCAGTAAATTAAAGAAATAAAATAAGAAAACGCGGAAGTTACACCCTTCTGTAAACAACTGTTGGATATTTACAAACANTTTATTATATAATAAAATAATAATTAAATATTATATGGTGAACAACAATAAGTAAAACTGTTACTTTCTCTTATATCAAGGGATAAATAAATCTACGAGAATATTAGAAATTTTGTAAAGCAAGAAGTTCGAAAACAAGAAGAAGAAGTAACAAATCATACAAGGTAATATAATATTGTATATTAATATTCAATATTAAGAAAAAAAATAGATGCATTTCGATTATACTTTATCAAAAATATTTGTATTACATATCTATACTTATATAAAAGGAAATTCTATTTACTATATTTACTATCCAGAAAAGTCAACTGCATTAAATGCCATTACTATTTGGTATTATAATATTTTATTTATTTAATTAATTTATTTATTTATTTTATTTTAAAAAGTAAGTATAATAAAAAGATTTTAATAATAAAAAAATCAAATACCAAATAAAAATGTACACTTTGACTTATTTGATTATATTTGGTATTTGATTATACCAAATATATTCCTATTTAGTATATACATTAAATAGCACCTTGGGTCGCTACGGAAACAGTCTCCTTGTATAATTACAAGGGGTGAGGTCTGCGTACAACTCACCCCCAGACCCCAACCTGTTGGGAATATACTGGATTTGTTGTTGTTGTTGTTGTTGTTGTTGTAGTATATACATTAAATACTTACTAAAATATTTATTTGTTTTATTTGTCAAAGTTAAGTATAGATTTGTTTATATTATCAAATCATAAAAAAAATATTAAATTCATATTGTAAAAAAAAATAAAAAAATCATATAATTTTATAACAATTCTACTACAGTATTTAACAATATTTTTTTTATTATATAATAAAATAATAATTAAATATTATATGGTGAACAACAATAAGTAAAACTGTTACTTTCTCTTATATCAAGGGATAAATAAATCTACGAGAATATTAGAAATTTTGTAAAGCAAGAAGTTCGAAAACAAGAAGAAGAAATAACAAATCATACAAGGTAATATAATATTGTATATTAATATTCAATATTAAGAAAAAAAATAGATGCATTTCGATTATACTTTATCAAAAATATTTGTATTACATATCTATACTTATATAAAAGGAGATTCTATTTACTATATTTACTATTCAGAAAAGTCAACTGAATTAAATGCCATTACTATTTTGGTATTATAATATTTTATTTATTTAATTAATTTATTTATTTATTTTATTTTAAAAAGGTAAGTATAATAAAAAGATTTTAATAATAAGAAAATCAAATACCAAATAAAAATGTACACTTTGACTTATTTGATTATATTTGGTATTTGATTATACCAAATATATTCCTATTTAGTATATACATTAAATACTTACTAAAGTATTTATTTGTTTTATTTGTCAAAGTTAAGTATAGATTTGTTTATATTATCAAATCATAAAAAAATATTAAATCCATATTTAAAAAAAAAAATCATATAATTTTATAACAATTCTACTACACTATTTAACAATATTTCTTTTTTATTATATAATAAAATAATAATTAAATATTATATGGTGAACAACAATAAGTAAAACTGTTACTTTCTCTTATATCAAGGGATAAATTTATATGCTAAAATTAAATTTTTATTAGTATAAATGTTTTAGTGAGATAATATATTAATTATTTTACAAGCTAGCCCTAACATGCTCATATTTAATGTTTTAAAAGATGTAGAAAAAAAACTTATAATAACTCTATTGTTTTTTAGACTTAAACGTTGATTAAAAGAGGTAAAAATTCCTAATTTTTTAGACTTAAACGTTGATTAACACCATAGATTGAGAGTTTATATTTAGTAAAATTCCTAATTGTAATACAAAAATTAATTTTTGCTATATTTTAGAATATCTTTAAATTCATTATAAAAAAAAAAAAAAAAAAACTACAATGAAAAAAGTAAGTCAACTATACATCGATTTGTTGTACTCCTCAAATCACATTCACAATTTGGCTACAAGGAAAGGAAACTCATTGATTAAAATATTATTTTGTCAGTAGTCTTAATGTACAAGAGACTTTAAGACTCCACTTGAATATTATTAAACTTTTATTGAATATTGTACAATTTTCTTGCGTATTATAAACTTTTATTGAATATTGCATCTTATAATATAATATTCTCCAAATAAATATATCTCGTGCTTTGTACGGGTCACGTACTATATATATCCCGTACATTTTGTATATAATTATAAGCCTGGATAAATAGCCTTAAAATTATGCACCCCGTGCATCGCACGGGCTCTGTACTAGTTGATGTAGTAAAGCGTACGAGTGAGACGATATTAATGAGATCGCAATCTTAGAAACACTTAAAACGATATCAATTCACATTTTATTCAAAATCCCCCTCTCACAATGAAAATAAGAGTCCTAGACTTCTAAACTCTATTCCTAATTACTTGTTCAACAAAACAAGATCTCTTACTAAATATTAAATATTAATAATAACAATAAGAATAATACTAATAATTATATCCTTAATACTAATATTATATCCGCATCATTCTCCCCTAGTTCGGAAGGTTTCGCCCTCGAGGCCGCACCAAACGTGTCGCCCGGAGTCGTACTCATGACATTGCCCGTCGTTTCCCCCTATCAAACACGAAGGTGGAAGGTCGCCCAATAGCTCTGATGGTAAACATGATATTGGACAAGGACGTAACTGCAGCAAATGCAATTTTACACGCCTCCATACTCATAAACCACCCAACGGAAATAACACCATAAATACCACATCGTCTGCCGTGCTCAAATCCACAATTATGGCCAAGCATTCCGTTGTTGGGAAACTTTCGTACTGACAATCGGAGAATATCCCAACAGTTATTGAGCCACGGCCTCGGCTTCGAAAAACCATCCATGGCCAAGATACTCCAAAAATCGGGTCCGACCGACGGTTGCCTATTAGAATGTTCAACCTCTGCGACGTTCCACGCGGGGCCCATATCATCGCAGACATGTGCTTCCGTCACCGGAGGCTCCTCATGAAAAATGGGTGGACCCTCGTACAATGGCCCGTCAACTTAATCTCTGTCAAATGCAGGGATGTCAACACGAAACGGGCCCTCTCATCGACCATATTCGCGATCAAATTTCCTCTGTATAGGCCCAAAGTCTTTGGCTCCTTTACAGGCCCAAAAAATGCACCCAAAATCCCAGTGCGACTCATAGCCAACGTCTGTCGTACGCCGCACGTCGCGCTGCTGCTACCAATCTCCCGGGATGCCGTCGCGCTGTAGGTTCCAACCCCGCCGTAGTTGTTCGTCATCAAAGTACGCTGATGTTCCAACGACACTGTTTCCGGTCGAACCCGTGAAGCTGGCACCATCACGTTCAAGTCTCTAATCGTGTCGGGCACAATATTCGTCAGCGAAGGCAACCTCCTTGCGCCTGCCTCTGTCGTCGCGTTGATCGTCGCCTCC